TGTGAATTTACACTAAAGGCAGTGGGGCGGGGGGGGGGGGGTAAAATCGAGAGGAATGAGGAGGGGAGAGTGACTGCCCATCTGAGAGATTCTCCTAGAGAATACAGGCTGTTTCTCCTTGGGGCCATCTGGATAGACAATATGGCGGCACAGCCAAGCCCAGTCCAGAAATGCCACCCTCTGGTTGTCAGCATCACATAGCGTGATCCTGAAACTGTTTTTGTCTCTTCTCTCTCACTTTGTGCAGGGGAAAGGACAGGAACAAGTAGGATAAGCCCTCTTTTTTCTTTCTAAAAATGATCTACCAGCCTTGTTGAAACAAGAGCGGCGGGGCTGCGTCCCCAACACCCCGGCCGCTTGGCTAGCTTATGCCCGAAATAACAACACACAAACTGTATTCATTTAAAGAACTGCTTGGCCCATACTCTAGCCCTTATAGGCTAATTCTCGCACCTGGACTAGCCCATTTCTAATAATGTGTGTAAGCACCCCAAGGTGCGCTTACCGGGAAGATTCTAGCCTACATCCATCTTCATCGCGTGTGCCTCAGAGAGCAGAGCTATCGCGTCTACCCGGGAGAGCTGAGCATGGCGTCTGTTCTGAAGCAGAGCAGGGTCTGACCTCACTTCCTCTTCCGCCCAGAATTCTATTCTGTTTACTCCTCCCATCTATGTTCCAAGCTGAGGCCAAGCAGTTGGTTTATTATAACTTAACCAATGAAATCAACAGATTGATATATGACACTCCCACATCACAGCCTGGTTTTTATTATTGTGACAGAGCACTTAAGACTGACACATTGTATCAAATTGATTTAGTTTGGCTTATGGTCCAAGGGGCTAGATGCTCAAAAGGAGGCAGGTGCATCCATCAAGGCCTTGTGCTGGGATGAGCAGGAGGAAGAGACAAAGCAGGAGGAGCCTTGCTTCATAGCAGCCCTGCTCTCATGAGGAGTCCATCCCAGAAAGGCAGCATTAATCTGTTTGTGAGGTGACACCTCACGAGGCAATAGTCTCTTAAAGGTCACTCTCTCGGCACCGCTACACTGGGGACTGAATTTCATCATGAGTGTTGGGAAAGGACAAATGGTATCCAAGCCAGAGCATGCTCCGTGAATGCGATGTCTTAGCCATTGGGCAGCACCAGTTTCAGTACAGCGCTCCCTTGCGAAGGCTGCTGATGTGTTCATCTGTGGAGGAGGGCTCGGGAGATAGTTCCGTGGGTAGAAGGCCCTGACGTGCAAGCAGGAGGACCCGAGTTGGGATCCCCAGCATTTATGTACGTGCTGGGCAGGTGAGGCTTGCCTGTCACTCCAGGCTGTGGGGCGGAGATAAGTGCATCTCTGGAGTTCATTGGTCAGCTAGCCTAGCCACGTTAATGACCTTCAGGTCCAGTGAGAGACCCTGTCTCAAAACACAAGGTGGAACACAAAGTTGGGGGGGGGAGTTGGGAAGGAATATGAGCAAAATACATAGTATGCGTGTGTGAAATTCTCAATGAAAATATTATATACCAAATATATGAAAACCGGGATAAACAATTGAGAAAGACATCAGATACGGACCTTCGTACTCCACACGCGTCCACATAAACATGTGCACCACACACATACACAGGCATTGAGACAATTGACATGCATTTTATAACAGTATAAAGTTACATAAATCCTGAGGATTTTATCATGAACGTTTGTTCACTGTTTTTCCTTAGTATAGTCTTTTGCATTTCCCTTGCAGTGTTCCTTGTGTGTAAGGTTGTCACGTATGCACTCATTTTGTGCACTTTTTTATGGTCTGCATTATAATTCTAGGTATGTACCTAGCTGTGCTTTAAGTTCCTTGAGGCTAGAGGCCCATCTTACTTCCCAGGTCAGTGCCTGGTGACATAGAAAGGTATTAACAGAGAGTGTTCTGTGCGTGCTAAATGGTTTACAGCCCACCTTCAGAACCTTCAGATTGGGATATTGCATTCAGTAGCAAAGTTATGCATCCTTTTCCTCTTGGGTGTGAACAGCAGCCTGGTGTGTTCGGTGTGAACAGGCATGTGCTGTGTTTGATTGCTTGTTGATGGCGAGCAGTGGCAGTGGGGGTATACTGTGGCTGCCTTGGTTCCAAGGTCATATCTTTCCCTTGGTTGAACATAAGTGGATTTTGCATTTCAGGATGCTGGCCTGTGGAACCTGGTTGATTATGTTTATTATTTACGTTCGGAGCATTTATCATTGTCTGACCTCCATCACCTCAGCCTTCCATTTTGATAAAATGAGATTTGTGTCTGGCAAGCTGGATGGATGTGTCGTTAGCATATCTTATGTGCGGGGAGTTGATGGAATGACCTCTGATGGATCTTGCTTTGCTTTGTGCAAATGGCAATTTCTGTCTCATCTTAGGATCCTACTTTATCGTGCTTTTTTACATAAAAATTTAATCATTCTCATGGAAAGAGGTTGAATTGTACAGATTATCATTAATATGCTTTATCTGATGCACCAAGCATCTTTCCTATCCCTTTGAGATAAAAGCTTCCTCCCTGTTTTCTTTTCATGGCCTTTTCAGTGTTTGAAAAAACACTGGAGACAGAAAAATGGAAAATGACACAGTGTATACACAGGCTGAGCTCCATGGCACACCATTAACATCGACCACTTTTATCTTATTCTGTGCCAGCCAAAAATAAACATTAGAAGACAGTTTACTACCCAAAATGCCTTGAACTGAAGAGTCTATAAAATTTGACACTTTGTATTCATTTTAGAAGAGAACATTTAGAAGCTCTGCTCTCATTGGCTCCTTATGGTTTCGGTCTTCCTTCCCATCCCACCCATTCCTCTTTTGGCACACTTTGAGTCCTCTTGTGTGTGATGTAAGTCCTAAAATTAAAACCCAGTGTTTGGACCAGCATTGACCTCTGGGGAACATGGCAAGAGCCTCTAGGGCCCATCTGCCTCCAGGACTCTCTCTTATGGGCTCTGTGGATGGTCACCAGCACTGATGAGTCTTGAACCCAGATACCCAGAGAGAAGAGAGCCACTGACCTGCAGAACTGAGATAATAAATGGGTGTGATTTTAAGCCTCACTTTTTTTTTGGTGGCAGTTTGTTATGTAGCAGTAGAGACCTAATCAGCTGTCAAGTGGGTATTTGTGTTTCTTTAGGTTTCCCTCTGAAATACATAGGCATATTTAAATCTTTTAAAAACTAATCTTATGTGTCCCCCATGTGTATACACTTGCAAGCATGAGTATGGTATGTGTATGTGAGTATGGTCGTGTGCCCTGTTGCACGTGTCACACTCAGGCTGTCAGGCTTGCACAGCAGTTGCACAAACAGCGCAAAGTTCTCCTTTGTGCCATCTCCCCAGCTTCGAACTTTCTTACCTCACACCAAAGGAAAGGAATACTCCGTACATTATGTTTCCATCCCATGGGAAGAATCCTTAGCTTTGGATGCAAAGAAGAACAAGTCCAAAGCACAGAGCAACGAGTGGGTTGGATGCAACAAGCCACCATCTCCCTCTAAACCAGGGTTTCGGTACCAAAGCAGCATCTTTGGTCATTGTGGACACCACAATACTTCCCTTGTTACAGCCTCTGCTTCAGATACCTCTTCTGTTTTAAGTTGGCAAAGTTGTGTATGTTAGCTGCTTTGTAAACATTTTGCAGAAGTAGAACTGCCTTGAGAGACAGTGGCCATTGGGTACAGATCAGTAGTATATCTTAATGGGGCACTTAGTATGAACGCCTGTCATATCATTTGAAATAGAAGGTAAGGGGATCACATAACATATTAGTACCACTGTTTATAATAATGGTTCACCCAAGGGAAGGAAAGAGAACACTGGGGTAAGTAGGTAGGTTCTCCTGGCCTTTGTCTGTAGCCCCTGATTCTGTCCTGAGTGTTGGGGGTGGGGGAGGTGTGAGCTCATTAGGGTTAATGCGGAAGGACATTTAGGCAAATGTAGGTAGATGGCTCCTGGGTGTGTGTGGGTCCTCTGTATTTGTCTAGGGTAAATGATGGAGAGGCTCCATCTGTTTGTCCCCACCGACCCTTCAGTGCCTCCCGTGAGACCCCGAGCCTCCCCTGTGCAGCTGCGGCTTCTCCCTGCTCCTCTTGCAGATGGAGAGCTGAGGCTGGAGACTTGCTCCTTTCAGTGATTTTTATTCCTCAGGAAGAAAAGGAAAGCCCATCTGTAGGGCCAAGAATTCCCTCCCTATCCCTGCCTGCAATTCTGTTTGTTAAAGGTTAATCTGCATTAATAAGCAAATACCTTACATGGTCTAAAGCCAGTTACCCAGCGTGAGCGTCCCCCCTTAGTGATGATTGTGTGTTGCCTAGCTTGGGGTGAGCCAGTGCTGAAGACTTTGTGGGAGGTCCTGTGTGTGAGCTGCATGGAGACCCTGTGGGGACATGCAGAGTTTTTCAGTCCTCTGCCCGTGTTGCATGGTGATGGCAGGGAGATCAGCTAGGAACCCCCATGGCTGTGTTCCAGGATTCAGGTCTCAGCTGAGCTGACCTCCCCTCTTGGATCCTGAATGACTGTGTGAGCTAATGTAATTGTTTTCTTCCCAGTACCGAGGAACAGTTGTTACAGGGCATGGGACAGCTAGTGAGGAGGTTGGGGACATTTTATGGAGAGGCACGACTCAGGGGGCTATAAAGGAGGACTTTGGAAAGACACTTAGAGGGTATTCTTAGTGGCCACGGATTTCCGAGTAATACAACTCATTTGTAAATGTCTAGCTGCCACTCACCCTTCAGTGAGTACAGCCCAGCTGAGGCTCATTGCAGCCCTGCCTCTCTGGATGCCAGCCACGAGCACCCTTCCCTCTCTCTAATATTCCAGCCACAGAACTCTCCACAGTGTGTTTGTGGATGTGACGTGATGTACAGTAGCTTGCCTGGTTGATATTTAAATGGCTTTTGAGTAATATTTCAGAGATGCTCTCAATGCAAAGGTGGACGGAAGCATCTAACTTTATCCTTGCCTCTTTCTGTTTCACAGTATTGGCTGGACCCAGCAAAAACTCTTGCGGAACACAAGGAGCTAATCAACAGTAGGTATTTCATTTTCATTTTGTGAACGGGTGGCTTGGGCTTGGTAAAATGTCTGTGATTCGTTTAGTGCTGGTGAGGGAACAGTAGGACCGGGAGTCGTGATCGGGCTCTGCACTGAGATTCTCCAGACTGGGGCAGTTAATCTCATCAGCTACTCAGCGGAGCCTGTGACTGTAGCAAATGTCCTAGGGGTACACCCTTTCATGATTTTTATCTTTGACTTTTCTATGTGTTTGTCTTTAAAACTCGACCTTAAAAAGCAAAAAGGAAGAGAGAGGGAAGTGTTTGTTCTTGGGCTATGGCGTGTTTTGTTATCATTCCACGGGGCTGCGACATGAAGAGTTTCTGTGACTTTGGGGAGAGGTCATTCCTTGTCAGGGGTTAGTGTTTAGAATGACAAAAATAAATTATTAGGGGAGTTGGTGTAATTGAATACGTATTCTTTAATCTCAGTATCCATACCCAAGGTTTTATTTATAAACACATGTCTAAACTTAAGTATGCAAAAGAACAATCAATTACAAATTTTGTGTTAAAATTACATAAGTTAAAAATTTGAAACATTGTGTGTGTAACTCACTGACATGAAATAATTCATGTTGCTGTAACTATCACCGTCTGCATAATTTTTCCTTATCCGAGACTGACCTCTATCACCAATGAATCTTTTTGTTCAAATTGTCACTGACTGCCAATCAGAGCCTAGTGGGCCCTTCTGCCTCTGGGTCCCATTGCTCCCATGCCTGCCTGCCCTTTCTCTGTGGTCACATTGGCTTTGTGAGCGTTGATGGATCTCAGCACAGGAATGCAGCCACAGCAAGGAACTGGAAACCTGGAAATGCAGGGCTCCCAGGAACAAGTGTAAATTCTTTCAACATTGGCATCATTGTCTCCAGCTTTCTACCTCTGTAGAGACCACCAAAGTTTATAAATTACAGCTCGGGCCCACTTGACTAAATTAAAGAAACAACTATCAGAAACTCAGAAAAATTTCAAGAATAACTATTTTAAAATAAAACAAAATAAAATAAATGTCAACATTTTAGTGGCCCACAGATGTTTGTGCCTGTAATCTTAGAGGCTGGGGCAGGGGAATTGCCAAAAGTGGAGGGCAGCTTGGGCTGTACAGTGGTTCCAGGCTAACTGGACTAGTTAGTAAGTTCTTGTTTCAAAAACAAGCAAATGCAGGGGTTGGAGAGAAGGCTCAATGATTAGAACACATGTTCTTCCAGAGGACCCAGGTTTGATTCCCAGCTACACGGTAGCTCATAGCCTATGTAACCCTGATTCCGGGGGATTTAATAATATCTTCTGGCTTTCCTGGAGAGCAGACATACCTATGGTGTACAAATACACATGCAAACAAAACACCCAGGCACATAAAAAGACGCAAGTCTTTCAAAATTTTAAGATGGATTTTAAAGCATGCCAAAGTTTTCCTCAATTTATTAAGATATTCTACTTAAACATCATTGTAAGAAGCAATATTTTTTTCATATTCAGTAATGTTAAATATTTGATATATCATATGTATAAAACAGAATCTCACCTGAAGAAACAGGTCATGGAAGACTTTTTATTTCATCAAGTGTTTTGATAGTGAAGGCAAATAGCACAATCAGTATGAGCAGCCATCCAAATGGTAGGCCACTGCTAGTAGTCAAGATTCTCATGGGCAAATCTGGATTTGCTTGCCCTAAGCTAAATGGAAATTCCTATTATCATTAAGGCACTATAAAATGTAGTTTGGACACTTCCCAGTGTCTGCTTCCTCCATGGTTTTTGGATAAAACAAAATGATCTTAGCTTCACTTTAAGGGTTTCTTAACATTGATGGCAGAGAATAGATGGATTTCAGATGCTGCTAAGTTAGTGACTTGCCTCATCAGCATCTCATTTTTGTAGTTAATTAGAAAATGTCTGGCTAGGAATATTCTTGCATATAAATGACCATTTCTGGGGCCATAGATTCTCTACCAGGTGCTCCCACAAGAGTTTGAGCCAAGGCCTGCTTTCCCAGGCTGTAGAAGGCAGTGCCCACACAGCACCAGATACTAGGTGTGCGTGAGCTTTATTCTCATCCTGTGGTTTCAGGAAAGTTGCTCAACTCCTCAGAGCTTCACCTGCTTTCTGGAGATTTTCAGGCTGTGGCCAAGAAATATTCATGAAATTTGTTGTTGTTGTTTGAGACAATGTCTCACTATGTACCCCTAGCTGATGTGGGACTTACTGTGTAGCAGACTGGTCTTGAACTCACAGAGATGCACCCGTCTCTGCCTCCTGAGTGCTGGGATTAACGGCGTGTGCCACACACTGGGCAATACGAAGTGACACAAGGCCCCTCTGTATGCCAGTGGAAAAGGCCAAAACCTTTGAAGAGAATGGACTCAAGTGGAGTGTTATTCACTGTGCATTTTTCAAGTTTCTGCTTAGCTGCCCATGACTGGACACAGATGAAATGCCTGTGATGGGTGAATAGGGTCATCTGTCACGTTCACAGAATGAAAGTCACTCTGGAGTCTATAGAATGCCTCTTCCCTTTGTGCGCTCCTTAGCGGTATGCACGCCTCCCTGCCCACCCTAGGTGAAAGCCCAGCCGCCTGCGGGCACAGGCCGACCCATCTGCTCAGGAGCAGGGCTTGATTGACACAGACCATCGGCTGTCAGTGGACTTCCTGCCTCTTCTAAATATTTAATAATCTTGCCTCCCTGGTGTCTGTGTTGAGGGGCACATTTGTCATAAATAAAGTAATTGAATATACATAAAAAACTCAATATATGGAATAGTTAGGAAATTAGAGAAAGGTTTTAAAATGTAGATAAAAAAAAAATCCCTAAGTGTAGGAAGTAACTCATGAAGGAAGGCAGAGATGAAGGGAGAGGCATGGGCCTGCTCCTGCTGTCCTGTGTATGCAGTTAACAGGGCTTTGGGAGAGGACAAAAACATGCGTGAGCATGGGATAAAAGCAATAACGTGGTTCAAATAGTATAAATTGACTTTATTTTTATTACTTGATGTAATTTGTTTCTTTCACCCGGCGCTTAAGTTATGACTTTATTAATTTAACTAAAACTGAAAGTAGATGAGGGTTTCTTTGTATCAATTACATGGTGTCAGCTGTTTCCACCAGGTCCGCGTTTGTGGGGCGGAGCCTTCGGTGAAATAATCAATTGCAGCGCTGACAGTTGCTTGGAGCCTTTCTAAAACAAAGGGCATGGCGCTTGGGAGGTGGGGACCAGAGGACCAGAACTCCAGATCAGCCTCAGCTGTGTAGAGGTGGAGGCCAGTGCGAGCAGCGTGAGATCCGGCCACAAAATAAATAATAAATAGATAGATAGATAAAGATTTAAAAAAAGTATATTAGACCTATTAATAATTACTGCCAGCTTGGAAGTTCAGCATTTTATAAACAGTGCAGATTACACCCATCCACCCTGAAGTAACTATTTCTAGAAATGGCATACTACAATATATCGGTTCACAAGGGACCTGCATACTCTGGCACGGTGTGTTGACTTTTATATTTACCCACGCATGTGCAATTCCAGGCTTTGTTTCTGAATTTTTAAATTTTGTTTTAGTTGTCTACAGATTTAGTTCTTCTGTGTGTGGTAAATGAATAAGAAGTATCTTTTTTACCTATGTGAGGATATATTTTTCTATTTAGAATAGTTAACAGGGCTGGAGAGGTCTCAGTGGTTAAGAGCAGTGGCTGCTCTTACAGAGGACTCTGGTTTAATTCCCGGCACTTGTCTGGCAGATCACAACAATCTGTACGTCCAGTTCCAGGGATCTGACCCCTTCTTCTGACCTCTGAGAGTGACAGACATACCTATGGTGTGCATATGTATATTCAAACAAATACTTGCACACATAAAATAAATTAAAAAATTAGAATTGTTTAAGAATGTAGCAGATATTGTGCTATTACATGGCTGCTTTGATTATTATTATTATTATTGTTATTATTATTATTATTATTATTATTATTATTATTTGGTTTTTCGAGACAGGGTTTCTCTGTGGCTTTGGAGCCTGTCCTGGAACTAGCTCTGTAGACCAGGCTGGTCTCAACTCACAGAGATCCGCCTGCCTCTGCCTCCCGAGTGCTGGGATTAAAGGCGTGCGCCACCATCGCCCGGCCTGATTATTATTTTTAAGAACTATACATGATTATGAAAATATTGGGTAATTAATTTGCATAGCACTGCTACTTCCTCTTCCCAGCATTTGTCACAGCTTATACTTCCTCGTGTATTTTTTTCCTGGGACAAACTACATATATTAACTTTTTTCCCCCTATGAGGTGTTGGGACTGTAGACTGTCAACCCTCTCCACATCAGCACATATGATCTCCACCTGTTTGCTTCTGCTACGGCTGGGCCACTGTCCCATGGCTGTGGCTCATTGACAGGGTCCCGTGGCTGTGGCTCACCGATGGGGTCCCTGTGGCTGTGGCTCACTGACAGGGTCCCCAAAGCTGTGGCTTGCTGACAGTGTTCATGTGACTGTGGCTCACTGGTGGGTCCCCGTGGCTGTGGCTCACTGATGGAGTCCCTGTGGCTGTGGCTCACTGACAGGGTCCCCAAACTGTGGCTTGCTGACAGTGTTCATGTGACTGTGGCTCACTGGTGGGTCCCTGTGGCTGTGGCTCACTGACGGTGTCTCTGTGGCTATGGATCACGGACAGGGTCTCCGTGGCTGTGGCTCACTGACGGGGTCCCTGTGGCCGTGGCTCACTGGCGGGGTCCCTGTGACTCACTGACAGGGTCAGCATTGTTTGCAGCCTTTTGCACAGAAGTTTAGAAAAACTTTTTCTTGAGAGTTGATGTGATAAGAGGATGACTTTAAAAAATCGTTTGTTGGGGGCTGGAGAGATGGCTCAGTGGTTAAGAGCACTGGCTGTTCTTCCAGAGGTACTGAGTTCAATTTCCAGCAACTACATGGTGGCTCACAACCATCTGTAATGAGATCTGGCGCCCTCGTCTAGGCATACAGGCATACATGGAGGCAGATTGTTGTGTACAAAATAAATAAATCTTTAAAAAAAATCATTTGTCAATAAATTCTTGATGATGAGAAGACCCTCTCCTGTTCACCTCCTTCCTTCAGTAATGAATAGCAGGAAATAGAAATTAATAAAAATTGTGCATAGGCAGTCCAACCAGATACAAGAACCAGTAGCCTTGTGGTATTTTGGGCCTTAAGTGTTTTCTGTGTTTATGTGTGAACGAACATGCACTTAGCATTAATTTCCTGCCTTCACTAGTCTTGAACCATGTCTTTTCCATTTTGTGTTCTTGTGTCTTTAGAAATATTTTATAAAGGTAATTCTGTTTGTTCATATGCATGTATGTGTACACAAGTGTGTGTGCACGTGCTTGTACATGTGTGCTCGCTTGTGTGTGCGTGTGTACACATGGGTACATACACCTATATGCAGAGACCAGAAGAGGATGTCAGGCGTCCTACTCTGTCATCCCCCGCCTTATTCCCTTGAGACAGGACCCTGCATGGAACCAGGAACTAGACTGGTGTTCAGAAAGCTCCAGAAGCACCTCTGTCAGCCCTGCACAGTACTGAGGCTACAGGAATGTGCACAGCCACACCTAGATTTTTACACTGAAATTGGGATTTGAACTCAGATCCTCTTGCTTGTGCAGCGAGTACTTTTACCCTGAGCCATATTCCTAGCCTCTAATTCTGTTTTTCCCCCAAGTAAAGAACCTTCCATTTTAGCAAACAGTTTAAATTCAAACTCATCAATGGTTTTTAAAAGTATATACAAGCTGGGCATGGTGGCAAAAGGGTATTTTAATCCCATCACCGGGGACACGGAGGCAGGTGAATCTCTGAGTTCAAGGCCATCCTGGTCTACATGGCAGGTCCCAGTCAAGCCAGCCAGAATTATATAGAGACCCTGACTTAAACACACACACACACACACACACACACACACACACACACGCAGAAGCGCACACACACACGTTATGTCAATGGATATACAGTATATCTAAAGACAAATTGTAGAACTACTATTATTTGATGTGAGAGTGTTAAGCTTATAATAGAATTTGTATGTAAATGAACTGTTAACTGCTTGAAATAGATGTTTTTCATATTTAATATATTCTCCATATGTGATTATAATTCCTAATTGTTACATATTACAATGCAACTTTGATTATAATGTGAAATGTAATTAGTTTTTGCTTTTTCTTAAAGCTGGACCTCCATATACTTTGTACTTTGGTATTAAATTCTATGCTGAAGATCCGTGTAAGCTAAAAGAAGAAATAACCAGGTACAGTATTAGCTTTATCTTTGGGTAACGTGCTATACATGAAAGGCTGTATTGAGTGTGGATTAAAAGTGGGGTTTACACACCTGAATGCGTGTCGAGCTGTGTCTCATGGTGCACCTGCTGTGAGGATTAAATTTTCGCCTTGCGCGAGGCAGATCAGTGTCCGATGATAGATGTGTGTGGGAAGCGACAGGAGCCTGGGTGACATGATGACAGATTTGCATCTCCTGGGGCAGGATATTCTCTGTCATTGTTCAGTGCCTTTGGCCTTTGTATCTGTGTAAGAGCAGTCATTTGATCTGCCAAGGGAGGGCGTTTTGATGCTGGGTTTATGCATATGAATATCTGTTTGGAAGGCCAGTTATTTTCCTTTAACTAGTTGTAATTGAAATATCAACTGTTTAGATATTTCATTTATCTTTGCAGGAAATGAAAAGATAACTATTTTCAGTATTAAAAAGGGAGAGAAAGTATCAGTATTAGTATTACTTCACCTTTATCTCCAAAAACTATATTTTAGTAAAGACAGATTTGCTCATTGGTATTGAGTAGACAGATTGCCAAAATAGTCCTTACTAGCATTTGAAAATGCCTTCTAAAGTGAGGGGGACAGCAGCGTCCTGCTGGACTTTACTTTGCCAGTGAACTGACTGGAAACCAAAAATCACTTGTCATAACTCAGACAGTTTTCCAGTGAACTTTTATTATAGACTAAAGGAAAACTTTATACATTTATGTGAAATCCTGGACACCATAGCAACAAAGGCGACCTGGCTTTTTTTTCCTTCCTGTTGCACCCTTTTGTGTATGCATGAGCGTGTGTGTGGGGATGCATGTGTGGAGGCCAGAGGTCAGGTGTCTTCCTCCATCACTCCCCTTCATCTTTGTGACGAGGACTCTTATTGAACATGAAGCTCCTTCATTGGCTAGACTGGCTGGCTAGTAAGTCCCAGGGCAGTGTCTGCCTCTGTGGCCCAGGGTGGGGTTATAGGAACGCACCACTGTACCTGGCCTGTGACGGGTGCTTTCATGCTTGCTCCGCAGGCACTGCGGTGGCCTAGCCACTTCCCCGGGCCCTGTTGCCTTCTTCTGTCTTTCAGCCCAGACGTTCTTTCCTCTTTATTTTGGACTCTTTGGGGTTTCCCATCCCACTCTGACCTGCCACTTGTAGGCTTCATCTGTAGAACCATGTGACGTCTGCCTCCACGTCACCCACCTCGGTTTGCTTCTGAGCACTCTGAAGAGCCAGTGCACACATCTTCCTAGCGCACACCTTTCTGAAGGAAGGAAGTTGTTCTGAGAGGAGAGGTGTGTATATGGAGATCTTCACGGGGAGGGGTAGGGACCAAGTCTAACAGATGTAAAAATGTTCTCCTGTCTACCACTCGTTAGAGAAGGGCAAAGGGACATTTTGTTTAAAAATGGCACAAGTCCAGCATTTCCATGGGCTCTGCCTCAGTGTGTGTCTTGGAGGACTTTGTAAGTGTTGGGTAGCATGATACATGGGCTTGAGTGCTAAGTGCTTGATCGTGTGGATTCTTAGTAGCCCGCCCTGTGTTTGCCATGACAGTGTAGTGCAGTTACACTGACGTAGAGTTAGCTTCAGAAAATGTTGTGCGAAGACCAAAGGTTTACAGTATATTTCTTTACCCATGTTTAACTTGGATTAATAGGAAACAGAAAATTTTCTTCAGAATCCACTGATGCTTGTGCCTCAGAGCTTCTCAGTGTAGCTATTTTCCCTCAGGTATCTCACCAGGTTGGAAAGAACCAGATGGTGTAATTGGTTTATAGGTAGTGACCATGACTTCTTTTCTGCTTGGTCTAAATCATAGTAAAGTGTGGGTAAACTAAATGCACATTTAATATGTGACATCCTCCTTGAATGTTAACCTTCATCCGGCGATGAAAGGAGACAGAGACAGAGACCCACATTGGAGCACCGGACTGAAATCTCAAGGTCCAAATCAGGAGCAGAAGGAGAGAGAGCATGAGCAAGGAACTCAGGACCACGAGGGGTGCACCCACACACTGAGTCAATGGGGATGTTCCATCGGGAACTCACCAAGGCCAGCTGGCCTGGGTCTGAAAAAAGCCCGGGAAAAAACCGGTCTCGCTGAACATAGCGGACAAGGAGGACTACTGAGACCTCAAGAACAATGGCAATGGGTTTTTGATCCTACTGCACGTATTGGCTTTGTGGGAGCCTAGGCAGTTTGGATGCTCACCTTACTAGACCTGGATGGAGGTGGATGGTCCTTGGACTTCCAACAGGGCAGGGAACCCTGATTGCTATTTGGGCAGACAAGGGAGGGGGACTTGATTGGGGGAGGAGGAGGGAAATGGGAGGCGGCGGTGGGGAAGAGACAGAAATCTTTAATAAATAAATATATATATAAAAAAAATGTGACCGGTATGGGATACACTGAGGATGACGCCATTGGCTCACATGAATACATTGCTCCATAGACAGGTTTGTAATACAGCAGACATGAAAAAGTGGACCAATTACATAAAATAACTTCATTGTCTATGTGCGATTGTAAATGTGAGTGATGCATGTGTGAGTTTGATTGTTTATGTATGATTGTAAATGTGTGTAATGTGTGTGTACGTGTGTGCATGCTTGCATGTGTGTGTGTGCACGTGTGTGTGTGCATGTGTGTATGTGTAAGAGAGTCTGAGTGCGGAGCATGTGTCATGGCATGTGTGTGGAGGTCAGGGGCATCTCTTCAGGAGTCATTCTTCTTTCTCTTTCTGAGGCAGCATATCTCTTGCTTGGGCTACTGTGCGGCACACTCGGGACTAGACTGGCCCACAAACTCCTAGCATATTTCTCTGTCTCTGACTCCCATTTTATGGTAGTAATTCTGGGGTTATAAATACATGCTGCCACATTAGTCGCTTATGTGGGTTCTAGGGATGAAACTCAAGTCACCAGGGTTTTGCTTAGCAAGCACATTTACACGCTGAGCTATCTCCCTGGCTGAGAGGTAAAACTGAACTCCAAGAGTGAAATTCCCTCATATGCCATTAAAGGAAAACAGTTCTGTGGCCTGTATTTACAAGCTAAATTTCAGTGTTTTCAACTTTAAGTTCAGCTGGGCTTTTTGTCTCATGCTTGTAATTCTAGCACCTGGGAAGCTGAGGCGGGAGGATTGCCATGAGTTAAGGTCCAAAAAGCAAACAAGCAAGCAGAAGTCCCAAATAGAGTGATTGATTATCTTGATTCTGTTCTTTGGAACATTGTTCCAACTTACTCGGTGTTGGTTTTTAAGTTTTCCTTAATTTCTTATGAAATGTAAGATAAAGGAAACTTTTATGTGTATAATCTTCCATCTAACCTCAGTTTTCTGTCTACATACAGAATTACAGGTTTTGCATGTAAATAGATTTTTTAAAAAATTATACTATTTCATATATCTTGCTTGAACCTCTCTTACCATTTAGCCAGTTCGCTTCTGGTAAAAAGGTCTCAGCATTTCTGCAGGGAGACGGCTGGAAGAATGTCGTGAGTTAATGCTTGCAGGCGGCTGACTCCTGCACAAACAGCGAAACTGCTCAGTAGAGTGGTTAGGGCAGGTGAAGTGGGGCCAAATGATGGCTAAAGACCAGTGTGGAGCCCTGAGATGGCTTATCAAGGCTTTATCAAGCTATTAATCAGAACTTTCCGGGCATATGTGTTTATTTAGCTCTGAGTCACCCTCCATAGCTCTGTAGCCGGCATTTGTGGAATCTGTATATGAAGACTGGATATACCCACTGGCCCATTCTTCATCCAGGAGCTGCATGGAGCGTCCTGCTCCATGTGACTGTGTGATCAAGGAAAGGTCTGGTTTCCATCACTTGAAGAGAACATTTTTTATATTTTTATTAATTTTATTGAGCTCTACATTTTTCTCTGCTCCCCTCTCTGCCTCTTCCCTCCCCCTCAACTCTCTCTCATGGTCCCCATGCTCCCAATTTACACAGGAGATCTTGTCTTTTCCTACTTCCCATGTAGATTAGATCTATGTATGTCTGTCTTAGGGTCCTCATTGTTGTTTAGGTTTGAAAAGAACATTTTTATACTTCTAACTATGTAGTGATTTTTCTTTGAGCTTTAAGGAAGGGGGACCATCCTCTTTGCCTCTGGAACGCACTCCTTCCCTCGAGCGGGCTGGAAGGAGGAGGGGAAATGTGGGTGGTGGCAGACCAGGTTTAAGCGTGCAAGGTCGTAGGTTAGGGGTGTAGAGGGGTGTGTTACTGTCACACTCTCACATATTTTGTGATTGGTTGTGGATGTCAGGGATGTCAGGGATAAACCAGCGCTCCTGGGTTTCTCTGACGTGTGCATCTGCGACTAGTGTGCCAGCCCTGAAGCAGCCAGGTGAGGAGGTCTCACCCCAAGCCTGCAGCTGCTCTCCAGTTGGATAGCAGTCTTCTGGGGATGACCAGTGCGGCCTCTAACATTTGGGGTTTCTCATAGGGCTGTAGCTGTAAGCAGCTGGAGAAGAGATGATTTCCAGCATCCATTTAATTTTTTTGTCTTTGTCTCTCCCTGTGTAAGCGTCACCTTACAAAGGAAGGGGATTACAGGGCATCCTGAAGGATGCGGGTATGTGGGTGCGTGTTAGTGATGGCAGCCGGATGTGGATAGTGTGCTGGTGTGTGATGACGCCTCCTAAACCACTGCCTTTTCTCATCCCGGAGGAAGGAAGCCTAGATGGTCGAATCAGAGTCGCAGAACCCCTTGTGTGCTTGTGTGTCTGCGTGTATGGATGTGTGTGTGCACATGTGTATGCATGTGTGTATGCGTGTGCATTTGTGTATGCATGTGCATGTTTGTGTGTGTCAGTATATGCATGTATGTACGTGTTTGTGTGTATATGTGTGTGCACACGTGTAGACCAGAGATTAGCCCTGGTTATTACTCCTTGGGCACTGTTCACCTTTAATCTAAAAACAGGCTCTCTCACTAGCCTGGAATTCATCAATTAGGCTAAGCTAATTGCTGGGGAACTCCAGGAATTTGCTCATCTCTGTCTCCTGAAAGCTGGGGTTAGAAGCACACAACTGTGTCTGTTTTTGTTTTTGTTTTTTTAAATATAGCTTTCTTGGGATAAAACTCTGGTTCTTCTGCTTGTACAGTGAGCATGTTACCAACAGAGCCATCCCCCAGCTCATGTAGAGTCTCTTGATTGTGAAGGTTCTAGGATCCAATTGCTCAGGCTGTAGTTATGATTCTGCAGACTAACTAGCCATGAGATCTTGGGCAGTTACCTCATCTACAGAAAGAAGATAACAGTGCTGGCCTCATTTTTCTAGGTTATTGTATGTAAACTACACAGACAGCGTCACATTTTTTACAGTTTTGAGACCACTTCTTGGTGCTATGACTTTTAAAGGTATCCCAGAATAAGCAAAGTTGAAACCATAAGCAGGGTCTTAGTGAGTGGGAAGAGGCAGGGAAACACACTGTGTGTTAGTCTTGTCTAGTGCACATGATTTTGAGTCTTGTGGATGACGCATGTCAGAGAGGTGGGGCCCTTGTAATTTCTCCTTCTTGGGAACTGCATTTGTTGAAGTAGTGACAGCGGCAGCCGGTGATGGTGACATTACATTTCATCTTCTCCTTGACACCATGAATTGATACTGTCCTTTCCCATTCCCAAGAGGCAACTGGCCCTTAGGGAAACTGAGTAACATCAAAAGGCTACAGATTTAGTGAGTAGCAAAGCCGCTGTGCAAGCCCTGCAGTCTGCCCTGAGAGTTCAGCAACCTAATGAGGCCTCGTCTGGCTGGCCTCATCCCTGCTTGTTCAGGAGACTCCTCACAGAGCGGTGGGAGTGGCTTGCTTTTTTTTTTTTTTTTTTTTTTTTTTTAACTAAGGATGATTGGGTTTTCTCTTGCTGGTCAGGGCCTGAAGCTTCTAGTCTGAGCAGCATCAGAGATTGTTAATCTCCTTTTTTCCATTTCTCTTTTAGATATCAGTTTTTCTTACAGGTGAAGCAAGATGCCCTTCAGGGCCGGCTGCCCTGCCCTGTCAACATTGCTGCTCAACTTGGAGCATACGCCATCCAGGGTACGTTCCACTTAAGTATGTTTGCTTCCGAAACGCTTGGAGAGAAGATTAGAATGTTATTTTCTGGGCATATTTCAAATTTGGTGTGGGAGAAATGAGATAGTTTGGTCTTTGTTCTTGAGATACTAGTAGACTAGACATTAGAGAATAAATATCCCAGGCAGAATGTCGGCTGGATGAACTGAGTTGGCCTTGGAAGTGAGATTATTACTGGAAGGAGAAGCTGATCAGAACTTCCTGGTTTGGCTCTGCTCCGTGTGCTAATGGTGGAGGATGGACCCGGTACTTCAGTACGTTTCCTCCAGCATCACCTGCAGCACGGTGGTTTGGAACACCGTGCTTGCTCTTGTTTTTATTGTCTCCAATGTTCCTAGAATACATTCTCTAATCTCTAGTAACTCGATTGTTCAAAATATGCATATTCATTGTATTTCATATATACTGGTAAGAATTATTAAAATAAAATGATGATAGACTGTGGGAAAGCAAAAAATGTAGAATTTTATTTTCTAAATCCTGATTTGTTTGTACCACACACGTCTTTGGTGCAGTTTTTCTTTAGTAATATTTTAGCAAAGTTATTTAGTAGTTAGCTACATCAATAAATTGATAAGGCATTTGATGAAAAAATGTTTCAGTGTGATAGGAAAATTCCATTCCTTTATTTTTAGAAGCATTTCCCTAAAATACCCTTACCTGTGACATTTAGGAGAAAAACTATATATATAAAATTCCACTTATGTTCCAGCTGAACTTGGAGACCATGACCCCTATAAGCACACTGCGGGGTACGTGTCGGAGTACCGCTTTGTTCCTGACCAGAAGGAGGAGCTGGAAGAAGCCATCGAACGGATTCACAAGACTCTAATGTAGGATCATGCTTCATGTTGTCAGCCGTCAGCATCAGTCAGCTGGGACAGTCATAAGTGCTTCCAGCGACAAGTTCGCCTGTGCCCCAATGCTCGTTTACTTTGCTTCTTTTATAATAATAAATGTTCATCGAAAATTCCTCTATCGAAATAATATAAAGGCAACAGTAAACCCAGTACCTAAAGATACCACAGTTTAGGTTGATGACCTCTGACTTCTCCTCTCTGTATGATTTCCACAGAGAAAATTGGTCTTGTTTAGATTTTTTATTGTGGTTTTACATAAGCAGAGTCATTCCATAAGAGCTGGGTTTGGTACTTTTTTACCCCATTCCTACTAACATGTGCAATCCTATAATGTATAAATATTACTTTTAACTATAGGAAAATAGCTAAACATGCCTTTGTGCATTTGAGATTTGCCCCGTGGTAAGTAGGTAAATCTTTAGAATTAGAAGCAAAAAAAATCCTGTCTAGGCCATAGCAACGAGTTCATGCTCATGGGGACAGTGGTGTGGAGCTCCCCCAGTCCTTGTGCCAGCCATGATGCACCCCGAGAGTTCCCATGCTCCTCTGGGCAGATTCGCAGTTAATAGCCCAGAGCACTGAAGTTATAATTTAATTATACTTATTTTGGTTAAATCCTCTATACTGATTAACTTTGCCTTTTTGGCTTCTTATATAACAGTCCCCTTTGAATATACTTGGTTTCAGATCTATTATAGTTAAGGAAAAAATATAGAATTAATTTGCTCAACCAAAGTGTTTGCAGAATGGCTCTTCCTAAGTGGGTAGAGGCAGAAGTCGATTGCTGAACACGAGTCAGAGGGGGCCAGCTCTCCATCTTGGATTAGCATGCACCCAGGATGCTCTGTGGCCTGAAAATAGAATCCTTCGTTTTAAGGCTTGGCTGAAGTGGATGCTAACAAGAGCGAGCTTGTTACACATTATAAAGGGCGGCGTGATTGGCGCCGTCTGCGAATGCTGATTCTATTAGGAGTTTCAAAGAACAGCTATATTTTGAAATCATAGGGCTTTGGATAAAGGCCCTTGTTCGTGTTTTATGTGATAGTGCAGCCAGTTATCTTTTCCTAGGAATAAAGCATGATCAAAACTTGACCAGTTTATGAAGAACACCCTTCCAGGCTTTCATCTGAGCGCATGGTGGCTGAAGTGATGGAGTGCGTCAGAGAGGACTCTCAAGTTTTAGGCATTCTTAGCAGCTTTTATCTTTTGTTAGCCATCAGCCCCAGCACACTACACCACCCCCCATTCATCCACGGAGATTTCTGGCAGATGCTCACCCTCATTAAGAGCAAATGGTGGTCACTGGATGCTGCCCCCAGTGAAGGCCTTAGGAAGATTTCCGCACCCCGTGATGAAATGACAAGCTCTGCACGGCTCCTGCGTGTTGCTAATGTGCTTCCACACCACACCTGTGCTCAGGAGCTGTTGGCGGGACCCCCGCTGGCCAGCGGGGCCTTCCGCTCCTTGCCTGGTGTGGTGCCAGCTCCTGTTGCTTCCGACGCACAGCTGCTGGTGCTGGTGCGTGGCAACATTTTGCTCCTCGGGAAGTGGCTGTTTTTTAATTTGAATGCTTATATTCTCAATAATCTCCTTGGGAGCTTTTGAAACTGAGAGTTTTTAATACATAGTGAGAATTTGGGAATAGACCATAATGAGCAGAAATAGGTTTGGTAAATGAAATTAACTTAATATAAATATTAACTTCTTATCACCCAGAAGGCCAAGTTCTTTTTTGAGGATAAAGCCTAGCTTGTTCCCTCCTTTCCTTTCCTTTCCTTTCCTTTCCTTTCCTTTCCTTTCCTTTCCTTTCCTTTCCTTTCCTTTCCTTTCCTTTCCTTTCCTTTCCTTTCCTTTCCTTTCCTTTCCTTTCCTTTCCTTTCCTTCCTTCCTTCCTTCCTTCCTTCCTTCCTTCCTTCCTCTTCCTCCTCCTTCTCCTCTTCTTCTTCATTCTTTCTTAAGTCTTTTTTAAGCTTTTTGAAAGCTTTTTAAGCCTTTTTAAAGTTTTTGCATTAGTGCAGAATCTTCCTTATTTTGCTTATAAGCACAGTGAAGTGTCCTTCTCTAAGTGGGGTAGCTATGAGTTAAAATGTCTTTGTTTTTATTCTGGGTGCAGGGGTCAGGCTCCTTCTGAAGCGGAGCTGAATTACTTGAGGACTGCCAAATCCCTGGAGATGTACGGCGTTGACCTCCATCCTGTCTACGTGAGTAACATTTAATTAACACAAAATATTTTAAGCTGATGACATTTTTGTTGAAAAGTCAGAGGAACTCCCTGAGGGAAGCCACCGGCCTCTTGTTTAGCAAGCGGATGATACTTCCTCCTGTGGTCCTCGAACCCAAAGCCGCTCTTACCTGGATTAAACCCTAATGAGTTTTGCATAAAAGTCTGTGATTGTATTTCCACGTGTAGAAAACAATTAACTGGGCTTGCAAACACAATCTGGATAAGAGTTCCAAAGGGCTTAGCTAAATGCCAAAGCAGTTCAAAATCAGTCTATAATTGATGCAAGACAGAAAGCGGGAGGATTTTCTAAAAATAGATTTTTGTGGCAGAAAAACATAAAGCTCTTTGCCAGGTGAAGTAGGTGTTGGGGAACCGTCCTGGTGCAGTGGCTGGTGGGTCCAGGCTGAGTGGTCAGTGTCCTGTCAACAGGAGAGTATTGCATGGATAGGTACGTCAGCCAGTTTCCTTCAGTAGCTATGGAAACTGCCAGCTGTTGTCAGCGAGCATGCATCAGATCTGCATGAGCGTTCTAGAGCCAGGCCCCACCCTCTCAGACCTTTCCCTTTGACTATCTCTTCCATATTTCCACTCCTGCATTCATTTTGTAGCGTGTCTTTAGCTCACTGGTGTTGTCTGAGACAAGAAACCAAACTCCTTACTCATTCATTCAGTCAGGCAGGGTCTTGCTGTGTAGCCCAGACTGGTTTGAACTCTTCTTGTCTTACCTGAGGAGTGCTGGGATTCCGTGCTTCTGCTGTTGCTCCTGGTTCATATTACTTTTACAGTGAGCAGCACCCTTGAGTACACATTCAGTGTGGTAATGGAAGTTACAGACTCGGAGGATCTAAAAGTTCCCTGATAATAGATGCTGGTCTCATTAGAGGATGGAACGCTGCCTCTAACATCTGGGTAGCACGGTTCCGTAATCTCAGCACTGTAGTCTCAGGTGGAGGCCAGAGTCTCACGCTTGAGACCAGCCTGGCCCATGTAGTAAGAAATGAAAGAAGGAAGGAGAGAAGGAAGGAAGGTATCTTTAAAACTCCATGAAGTCGTTGTCTTCTCCTCTGTTTGCCTCTTGGTAGGTTTGGGGGTGTTTAAAAAATACACCCCCCTTGGAAATGTATAGAGATTTCTGCAAAATGCTTTGATTCTATAAGGCCTATCTTAGTTCCTAATCAGGTCTTCTGGCTTTGGAAGGCACTGGTGAGGATCTATGGGGAATGGCCCAGATCTGGTAGGTCCTCATCCCTCTAAAGGTGGAGGCTGGCAACGATGGGGGTTTTTCCGAAGCAGTTGTCTTGGTTGTCTTCTGCTTGCAGGCCGTTCAGCAGACAGCTCTGTGCATGTTCCTGGTACCTAGCCGGCCTGTGGCTCTGTCATTTCAGGGCCCTGTTTTTTTGAGGTTTCTCACAGCCTGGGAATGAATGTTCTCCAGGATTTATGAGAAGGGATTGCACTTCTCAGTTTTTGAGCGGTCGTAAAGTTACAAGTGGAGGTGGGAAGGACCATGGTAGACCTCAGGAAATCGAAGTCTCTGTCTGCAGGCAGCTGCCTAAAATTTCTCATGAAACTTGTGGTACTGGTAAACTGGGCCCAGCTCTATCCACAGTAGAGAGAAAAACCAAGACAAGTCATTTGAAAGCACCACTAGTAGAAGCCAGTGGGTCTTAGGCTGTGGCTATGGAATTATTTGAAGCCCCGTGTGTTCTGACAGTCGGCCTCCGTCACTGGAGATTCTGGGGTAACTAATTTGGTGGCTCGTCCTCATCAGTATTTTAAGCTGCATGCTGATTCCACCTGGGCAAAAGCACCATTTCATATGCAGCCTTGAACTGGTTGTCATTCCATTTTGATGAACTGAAATCAGAACCATAGATTGATGCTAAGAAAAGTGTTCTTAAGATTGGGGGTGGGGCAGAGCATCAAATTAGTTGCTATTACAGTGTAGCTAGGGATCTTTTTTGTTTGATGTCTTTCAAAAACTTGAATCCAATTTTAATTATATCTTAGTTATATAATTGTTGTTAATTATATAACCATTCTAACAAATATGTTTGTATGGCCAATTATAGTTTTACTAGGATCTTCTTTATGAATAAGTCATGGTCCTGGAAATATATGTGCAGATGGAAGTTTCTGTCCTGCCCGGTCCTGCATCTGTTCAGTCCCAAAGAAACACACAGAGGCTTATATTAATTATAAGCTGTTTGGCCTCTTAGCTCAGGCTTATTATTAACTAGCTCTTACAACTTAAATTAACCCATAATTCTTGTTTATGATTAGCCATGTGACTTGGTACCTTTTTTCAGTATTCTCATTTGGCTTCCTCTATATCTGGCTGGTGACTGCATCTCTGCCTTTCCTCTTCTCAGAATTCTCCTAGTCTGGTTGCTCCACCTGTACTTCCTGCCTGGCTACTGACCAGTCAGCATTTTATTAATCGATTACAAATGACAGATTTTTACAGTGTACAAAAGTATTATCCCACAGCATATATGTGTTTGCTTCTTTTTTCCCCCCCAGGGAGAAAACAAGTCTGAGTATTTCTTAGGATTAACTCCAGTGGGTGTTGTTGTCTATAAGAATAAAAAGCAAGTGGGGAAGTATTTCTGGTAAGTATAGCTGGGGGCGAGTTAAAGTTGGGTACTGTGTACATTGGGTTTGGGAACTCGTGTGCCAATGGGTCTTTCAGTAGTGAGTGGGTAACTGGATGAAAGTGGTTGTGAATGTATGTATCTTCAAGGTAATTTCATTTGTGGTTGTTGTGGACTCTCTTGTCCATGGAAGCTCTATAGTAGGATTTCCCACCCATCCTCATGTGTGCTGGTGTCTGAATTCTGAAAAAGTTCTGAAAACAACAACCCCAGTGCTGTCTGCTTTGTTTTTCAGGCCCCGGATTACAAAGGTGCACTTCAAGGAGACCCAGTTTGAACTCAGAGTCCTGGGGAAAGATGTAAGTTTTCGTGGGCACGTAGCTCTCCTGTGAAGAGCAGGTCTCGCCTGCTCATTAGTAACTTAAAAGGCATCGTGAAGTTACCACCCTTTCCTTAGCTGCAGCCATGTGGAACCAGGCTAACCATGTCACACACACACATTTCTCGTGGACGAGAAAGGGAAATGGGGATGGGGAAAATGTCGTTTCCGTCCTGCCTGCGAAGGGTGGGACTCATTTAATCTCAAAGGTGTGGACTGCGTGGAACTTTAGAAGTGCGTCTTCGATTTGCTCCAAAGTAAACAAAACAACCCGCTGGGTACCACACATCTGTTCTTAACCTGCTGAGTGCGACACATAAACTGGGTGTGGAAATTCTGCTTTCAAGGGAGATGGGGAGTCGAGGGCTGGGCATCCTGGCAGTGTTTGACAGTAGGTGCAGTGTCTGTGCCTGGCTGTGCTTTCATGCCTTCACAGGTAGCTTTAGAAGCTGGTCAGAGATGGCAAGGATCCCTTTTGATCTGCCTGTGAAGGTCAGGCTGCCTTTTGTGCTGCTAGTGCCGCCCAGGCAGGATAAATAGAGCAATAGGAGGAACCCACTCCTCTGTCTCCTGTTCTCTTCACACACAGTGAAGCCCAGTGTGGAAGTGAACTGGCTTCTTTGACTCTTCATAATTCTTTTTAAGACAGGATCTTGGTATATTTTCTTATTTGGCCTCTTACTTGCTGTGTAGCCCAGCACAGACTTGAACTCACCGCAGTCCTCCTGCCTCAACCTCCCAAGTGCTGGGGTTACAGGAGTGTGCTACCACAGCAAGCTTTGAATTGACCTTTTTTTTTTTTCTTTTGGTGCTAGAAAGATTTTAGGTACAAACCAGTGCTTCTGTGGCCACTTGAGGAGCTGTCAGTACAGCATAGCATCCCCACGGGTTGGGAACATGGTTTTTAGCAGAGGGTCTCCTGTTTAGAGAGTCCTCTGTGACATCTGTGAAGTGGCTGATGAACTGACTTTTGAGATGTTCAAAGACCCAAACTCAGATGCTGTCTGTTCTTCCTCAAAAGAAAAAAAAGGGGGGCTGTTATTATTGATAAAATTGAAATCGGGTTTCGAGGTGAACTTGAACTTGTGAGAATGAGAGAGTCTCGACTTCTCAGACAGTGGTAGTCCCAAAGCACATACAAGCTCTTAATTGTATAATTCTTCTTCTTGGGGGGGGGGCGAGGGATGAAAATTAATTTTGTTTTTTAATTCCTAATTAGATATGTCAGTCTTAAAATATTCACTAAGGTATGAGAAGCAGAAAAGCTAGTTAGTCAGATTTTGCAATTTTCTCCCTGTCTTTCCACGGGAGTTCACGTGATTTAATGCAAAGAATCCCATCTACTCAATGCGTTAAAAATGACGCTTGGCAGGGGGGCTGGCACGGTGCTAGGACCCCAGGGAAGTGTCCCTGTTGTTTAGGACACCCTTCCCCTAGGCCTAGATTCCTTTTGTGAGTTCCCTTTCTTCTCTCTCTTTCTCTGAGCTCTGCCTGTGTTATCACCGCAGAGCTTTACCGTTTCTTCTCTTGTCTCAGGAAAGAAAATGGCAAGGTTGCCAGTACCCTGAACTTTCAGCTAAGGGCAGCACTGTTGACAACATTGCACCGCTCCCCAGTGGCAGTCTCCGTGGCACCATCTCCAGATAGCAGCTGGTTCCTAGGCATTCTCCTCAGCCCAGGGGCCTTCCCAGCTCTGAGATAGAGCGGATGTTGGGAGGAGCCTGAGTGTCCCATTCCCACTGTCCTGGGTTCTGACCACCTGCAGTTATAAGTGACCTTTAAATTAGGTGCCGAAGCCGGTCAGTGACTGCAGATCCTTTCCTTTTTATAGCCCAGGCTGGCTATAACCTGGAAGTCCTGATTGTCCACCTCTTCTTCCCAAGTGATGGGATCTCAGGTGTTCAACACCACGCCTCGTCCTAAATTTGTTATTAAATAGGCACATTAATTTAACCAAAACATTTTATTTCCTGAGTGCTCTTGCTTGCAGGGCTCTCCGCCCCCCCCTTTCTCCATCAGGGTTCCTCTCTGTGAAGCGGTGATTTGCATAATGGTAGAATTAAGTTGATTATTATGGAGGCCTAACTGTAATCACAGATTGAATTAAAATGCCCCTTAAAACCCATCACCTGGAACAGTAATCTCATTCAGTTTGAGAAATGGCTGAAGTGCTTAGTCTGCTGATTTTCTGGTCGACTGGTCTTGTTAAAGAGACTTAACTCCGCGTGTGTGCTGGGTGCTTTGAGGCCAAGTTCAGAGATACTTTCATGCATGGTGTACGCTTCAAAGTGCACTGTGGCTTAAATTGCACCTCACAGGAAATATAAACTCTGAATAAAGGTTTCACATAACAAATGGTAGACGGTATGGAAAGTATAATGCAAAGAAGAAAATCAGCATTTCCCATTACCTTAGAGTTTAGAGATAATTATTATTAACAGTTTGGCATGACTGCGTATTGATTTTTTTTGCCTCATTAGTGTAAATGTATTATGTGTTTATATGTGCATACATAGAGATATTGTCTCTGTATAGTTGTGTACATCTTTTTATTTTTAGTTGATTTTGAGATAGAGTCTTACTCTGTCGGCCATTTGGTCTTAGGATCATGAGTCTTCTTGCCTCTACTTCTGAAGTTCTGGAATGACAGACAAGACACCATGCTCAGCATGTGTGTGCCTTTGTACTTAATATTATATCATGAAGATTTGCCTTCTTGTTATATTTGTATGTATGTGCCTGCTTAGAGTTTTTAAGTTCTATTTTCATGTGTTTTACTGTTTCTTATTATTGCGTTGCAAATGTACGCCTTTTCAAGGCAAGGTTTCTCTTTGTACCAGCCTGTCCTGGAACTCACTTTGTAGGCCAAGCTGGTCTGAAACTCTCAGAGATTCACCTGCCTTTGCCTCCTGAGTGCTGTGATTAAAGGAGTGTGCCAGCTCCCACTGGTATGCTTTCTTTCTGTGTGTTTTATTTTGAATGTCTGTGTTTGTGTATGGTTGTATGTGCACACTTGAGTGCAGCTGTTGGTGAGATGCAGAAGAGGGCACTGGATCTCTATGGAGCTGGACTTACAGAAGGCGTGAGCCGTCCGACATGGCCGCTGAGAGCTGAACTCAAAGCAATGCTAAACCATCTCTAGCTTTTTCCAGTGGGAGGGTGCAATCCCCAACACCAAGCCTGGGTCCTGGCCTGTAGGAAGCATATTTGTAAACGATACCGGGAGTACTTGTGTGTACGATGCATCATGATACTAAACTCAGCTAAGCTTAGTGTCACAGGATGCGAGGCCGAAAGGTTCCTGGCAACGCAGCCGGGAGTAATTAGACTACTGGCAGAACCTGGGAGAGCTTTGGGAGTGTCACAGGAAGTGATGGTGGCCAGGAGTGGTTGGTCACTGTTGGTCAACCCAGCAGGTTGGTTTACATAATATGGGGGTCCATGCACATGAAACATATCACTGTTGCCAAATTGCTGTAAATCCTCTTATCTTGTTGCATGACCTGATAATATCCCCCATGCTCTATGTCTCCGCCAAGTCATAGACTCTGGCTAGCGCCCTTCAGTCTGGAGTGTTTTCCTAGCATTCTTTTGTCTTTTATGACCCGGATATTTAAACACAAACTTACCCTACTGTAGTTGAGTCTTCCTTTCATGCTTTTCTGGTGGGTTGTGGTTAGAGTGTATCATGCATTCCCGGCTCTGTAGTCACAGTGGCGAGGTGGTGTCTGTCTCGTGGTGTCACCGCTGGAGGAACATGGTGACCGTCCGCTGGCCTTTGTCTCTGAAGTCTGAGCTGCTGGCTGTGATATCTTCTAATTTCTTCAATGTCTAATTCCTACTGTGGGCACCCATCCCCCAAGCGAGACAGTAAGTAGTCTACAGGGAGACACAGTAAATCAGCACATGCCCTTCTTTCCTTGTCAGGATTTTCCTGTGTATTTAGCATTCACTCGGCACTTTTACCCAATCTAGTCTTTTATGATAATGATGGGAAATGTTGGTTCTTTAGTTCTCCCGTTCCCCTTCACATTTATCTTCAGACCTCTGTATTCCACTGTAGGCAAGAGCCCTGCCCTCTCTCCCTTTCATTTATTCGTCTGTTTTTTACATAGACTTATTGACCTCAATGATTTATGATACAGTCCAGTACCTAGAGGTTTTGAAGGTTAAGAATTCCTAGCTCTGAATAGAAGAAGTACCCCAGCCCGACCTCCGTGCTCCTCGGACCTGTTCCTATCATCCTTGTCCCCCACCCCGACCTCCGTGCTCCTTGGATCTGTTTCCATCATCCTTGTCCCATCGTCATTGTGGTACTGTTTTCCTTTAGTGTACTCTGATGTTTAGATCCATCTTGTGTTTGTTTTGTCCCTAGCTCAGTATCTGCCACATCTCTAAAGGTCGCTGGTTCCTAGCAGTGGGCGATGGTCCAGGTCTTGGCTAGAAGGTGATTATTACTCCTCAGTGACTTTTCCAAGCCTTTCAGTGGACAGAAGTAGAGAATCTTTGCATATAGATACACAAACACTGCCCAAAACACACCTACGTGAAGTGCAAAGGTACAATTGTACATGTGCATTTAAGTGTGTGCACGTTCATATATAGTGTAGAAATTATGAGTTTGCTTCATCCAGGCCTCTCTCTCTTGCATTTCTCATTTCATGTTTTATGTCCTTTCTTTGGCCACGAGAACCTTCGTTTCCAGTAGCTACACATTTAGTCGTTTGCTTAATCCTAAAGTACATATCAAATAGTTTCAGAGTTGCTTTGGTCAAAACACTGAAATTACAGTTCTTTACCCACATGTGTGGACCAAGGACCTATACTGTCTTCTGTTCACAGTTTACTTGGCTCCTCCCCTCCCCCTTCATTCCTTTTTTCCTTCTTCACTGCTGTGGTTGTATATACCCTCAAAATCTAATTAGGTTTATTTATTTCCAGTTATGGTTCCCTCTGCCTTACATTCCTGCTTGTTTAAGT